TCATTCAATATTAAGTCGTTATTGGCCTTAAAAATACAACCATTTTTTATTGTTAATAAATAGATTTATAAATAATTAAATATAATTTTTTAACTATGTATGTATGTATGTGTATCTCTCGAAGTTAAGTACAAATAGAATCGCAGCTTTAAATTTATTTCAATAATCATAAATGACAATCTAATAAAAAATTTTTGCATTTAATTTACATAGCGCAATCATTTATTGAATTTAATTTAAATATTCTGCGTTTTATTATAAAAACATGTTTTGTAAACAAACTCTCGTATTTTATATTGAAATCTAAGTAATATATGTATGTATGTAATTTGTGTAAAAAAATTACATACTCGTATATGCATATAAATATTTTATCAGGGAGCAGAAAATGTAATTGAAATTTTCTCTACTATCAACACTTTTAATTTCAATTAATTTAGAAAGATTAACATAATTATATTACAGTAAACAATTGTTATATACATATACGGAATGTATTTACATATATGTATGTATGTACATATAAATATATGCATAAATATTACTAGTAAATTTTATATATAAATAAAATTCAATTCAATGAGCAATTAGGTAAAGAAAAGCATGTGCTTAACAACAATCACATTTTATATCTTGTAAACATAGAGAATATATAAAATATTGCTGTTGTTGCACCATATACCTACCATACTCTAAGATTAAAAACGTGAATTACTTTTCCTATTTTTTTTTATTTTATTTAGATCATAAAAAAAAATGAATCGTTAATTTATGTGGTTTGATGTTTGCTGTCATAGCATAAAAGGGAAATTGGAAAATTTTTACAATAAATATTTTTAGCTTCTATTTTCTATTTTAAAAGTAGGTTTTAAATTATATTGCTTTGCCTTCATTTATCTGTTATATATATCGTACACCATATAGTACAAATCTATACGTTCAATTATGTGCTCTTCTATATACATATACATATATGTATTTCTGGGTATGTAACGATAAACGAATATTATATTGGTAAATATTCAATAAAGACTGAAATAACGTATCTACAGTAAATGCATATACAGTTTTTAAAATTGTATGAAAAGAAAGCAATATTTTTTGATTTAATATATTGATAAATTGACAAGTGAAAAGTCAATACCTGCAGAATAAATAGTAAAGCTTTTAAAATCATAAATTTTCTTGATCAATTTTCTTATTTTTATATACATATATACCAGAACATGGAAGCCTATTTATTTTACTACATTTGTTTATTTGACAATACAAATAAAATCGAAGAATATTTTTTAACCCTTACACCACAACTATTATTTTATTGTTATCCATAATTAAAAAATCTCATATAATACATAAAGTATTAATTTTCAATTAAGGGTACCGTATTGTAACAAAAGTCCTAAAGAGTTAAATATAAATAATATAATTGAGATATAACAGTTTAGCGAACAGTATGCAATTAATCAGTAATGCGAATTAAATAATTTTTAAATTAAAGGCTTTTAAGATTTTTCTTTAGAAAACAATTTTATTTTAATTTAATTGTAATTAATTTATTTAAATTGTAGATCTATAATAAATATATGTGTGCAATACATTTTAAGTGAATTTCCACTCAATTATTTCAATGATTTCCTTCCTTTTCGTTATTTTATGGTGTTTTTTTTTTCTTTTCAAAAAAGGTGAAATTTTAATTTATTTTTATAATTATTTTTTTATATGAATTAACGATATATTTGCTTTCTTTGTTTTTTTTTTTACTGTAAACTGGTCATTACAAGAATTACCAGTTAACTACTATGTATAAATATAAAAGGAAGAAAAAAAAAAGTTCAAGGATTAACTGAATCATACAAATATGGTAATAATTCAAACCCCGTGGAATACATAATATATGTATATATGTACATAAAAATATAACGAATTAAAAAAGTTTTTTCATATATGTATATAATAATGGGTGATTTTTTTAAGAGTTTAGTTTTCAAATTTAAAAATAAAATCTAACAATTAAATTGAAAATTTGTTGAATTTTTGACCAATCAATTTGTTTTTAAAAATTATGACTTGATGTCACATGTCATAACATGATTTATCGTGTTTTGGCAGCTGGTTCCTTTAAATGACCATTTTTTCCACATTTCCGCCGGAATATCATTTGATTACTTGTTAAATATTCTAATTTTTTATTAAATTATATGTTCAATATTCTAGTTTTATACATTTACATATGATACTATAGAGACGTCTAAAACGTCATATTGTTGTTATTGACCTCACATTTAATAATTTAAAATTTGGGATGTATTTTTCGAGCATCCTTTTTTTCTGTGGTTAAATGACAAATCAAATAGAGTTGACTATATGTTGATAACTGTAACAAATCAAACATAGATTGTCAAACATATATAAAAAAAACGAGAAACTAAATAGTATAAAAAATCACCCGTTACTTATGCAATATATTTTTTTAAATTTTTTATGTATTTTATTTTTTTTTTTTTTAGATGTACAGTAGTCATCATCATATACTAATAAAAATCGATTTCAAAATGGAATTCCATTTTGAAATATGAAAAATAAAATTGAAAATTGTTGTGCACTCTTAAAACATGCACGATTAAATATTTTTTGTAGCACGTAAACATAAGGTTTATGTTTTTACTTTGGTTATTCAATTTTCAAAAGTATCTATATATATATATATATGCATTTTAGTGAATTATGCGTGTATGTATAAAATTATGTCTAGATAAAAATATATTCAGGTGCTCATTGTCCATTTAAAGGTATCGCGTGATTTCCAAGCACTTATTTCTCTTAATATTAACAATAACAAGGCGCAGTTATAATATGTATACATACATACATATTCATACATATGGATTTATGTACATTAGTAAAATGTTTTAGAATTTATTAGTTTGTATGTGTTAATTAGAGTTCAAAAAAGGACTTCGGGTTTATTCCAATCGATTTGAAAGTTTTTTGTTGTTTATTTTCGTCCTCGCAATATTCTCTTTTGTTCTTATTATAATTGTACAAGGCTAAAACCTTCAGACCTTTTTATTTTTAAATTTGGTGGTGTTTTTTTTTTTTTTTGAATAATTTTTGGGGAATTTTGTTGAGTCTGAAATATTAGTAGAGGAGGAAATTAATTTTACTATGAATATTTATATATGCATAGAGAGCTATGTATATACATACTTATTTTAAAATTATACATCTATGAGGTTTTTTAAAATTAAATAATGAAAATTTTCCTAAGAACAATTATAGATGGTTGTTTTTCTTAATAAATACAATAACAAAGATAATAATTACTACAATTAATTTTGAAATACAATACAATGTCATTATAAATTTCAAAAATTTTCCATAATTTAAAATAAAAAATATTAATTTTTTTTTTTAAATTTGGTCATGTTTTTTTTAACCTTGTGAGGCTCCGGAATGCCAGAAAATGGCAGCTTTAATTTCTAAAAGTCTTAATATTAAGAACTATATGAGAACATTTTTTTAATTGGAAGAATTTTTCAAATGACCCTTGTATGCTTTAATATACATATTTGAGTTTTTATCAATGAAATATAATTATGTATTTAAAAAAAAAAATTAAATTCAAAAAGATAAAAGAAAAACTTCATTATTTTGTTTTCATTTTCAATTCATTGTTGCATATAAAATCGAAAAAAAATCCAGTTTTCAATCAGGTTCTTTCATATAAATAGCATTTTATATACGGTGGTCTGAATTATTCAGAAGAACGATTATTATATTTTATCAGATATGGTATATTTTCAAAGCAACTCCCACATTTATGTATACATATACGTACATACATGCATTCATAGAAAAATGTGAAAATAACAATAAGGTAATATTAAAATTGTCCAGGTCGAAGGACTGGTCTTTTGTATTTAATATTTTAATCATGTTACTTTCAATTCAATATTATTAATGTAGTACGATGACTTCACCGATTTATACGAGCTATAATGAAACTTTATACTTCATTTCACACCATATTTTCAAAAAAGAAATGTAAAGTTTTCAACGCGTTTCCATCCAATTTAAAACGACATTGGTTAATTCATTTTACAAAATTCAATGAATTTGAGAGTAAAATGAAATTACAATTTGGTTATTTATGTTTGTGGAAATTTATTTCAATATAAATTATTCGCAAATATTAATGTTCTAATTTTACACCGGAAAATAGTTTCTTTAGTTGCTTGTTGAGATTGTTTCTATAAAAAGACATCAAATTATTTAAACTGCACAAACCGTTCTAGTTTTGTATTCTCTGAATTATAAAAAACTAAATATGATATTTTTCTTCCGAAAAAATGCATTTAAGCCTCTTATCATTAAAAATTCCATTAAGAGCTGTAAACATTAAAGGACTTATTATTTACATTCAAAAATTTTAATAAAAAAAATTGAAAAAAAAAAAAAGAGTAGAAACAAATTATGTTTGTTGAATGATGTCCTCTTTCTCATTTAGCACATGTCCTTATTATAATTTCTTTTTTTTTTTCTTTTCTATTAAACACTTGTCCTTATTTTCTTTTAATATAAAACGAGGAAGCTATTATGTCTCTTCTTATTAAAAATTAAGTGTCACCATTCTAATTAAAATCATGCAAAATAAAATATTTTTCGTTATCCTCTTATGGAAAATTGCATAAACGGATGAAATGGATAAATTTATACATATTTTTCGTACAATTTCAATGATTAAGTTTAACATTATTGAAATTTGTTCGTACGTCAATTATGCTTTTGTAATAAAAAGTAATTATGTAAAGTAAGTAACTAAAAAGTGAGTTTCCACAAAAAAAAATCTATAAAAGTTCGTTTCTTGCTCAGTTTGATTCTTAATTTATAATTAACTATAATTACATTATTTAATTAACATTTAAATATAGCAAACATTTTAAAAAATTTCAAAATTTTAAAATTTAATTTTAATTCTTTTTTTTTTTTCTTTTAAGATCACACAAATGGGCAAAAAGCGGGTCTTAGCCTCAGCTAGTATTAATATGAGAAAATATGCTAGTATAGAATCAACACAACAAAGTTTTACATTAAATTTGAAACCTTCATCGAGGAAAATTACTTCAGCTAATTTAGAATTAACAATAAGTTGTGTATTTTTAAGAGAAGGAAAAGCAACGTAAGTTATCCGAATTTTCATTTTTTCAAAAAAACAAAAAAAGATATTCTTTAACATTCTATTCAAATTTTAGAGACGAAGACATGCAAAGTGTAATATCTATGATGTCTGTTAATAATAATTGTGATGTAGCACCATTAGATGATCTTGAAGATATACCTGATTTAGAAAGTGATATATCTGATCATGTATTCGATTTTACACAACAACTTGAACAATTAACAAATAGTTTGAATGGTCCAATTGATTTACCAACACCAATGAGTGTTCCATCATTATCAGAAGATCCAACACCTCTAGCTGAAAGTAATAATGTAGGTTTTGAATTAGAATTAGATAAAAGTTCACCAAAACAACAGCAAAAACAAAGACAACAGCAACAACAACATCAATCTGAGTTGATAGAACAACAAAAAAATCAACAAAAAATACAAAAACAACAGCAATTATACCATCAGCAAGAGCATCAAAAATCATCAAATACTTTAAATCCAGATCAAAACATAAATCAACAGCAGCAATTATTAATTACACCAGTCAATACAAAACCACCTGATGAACTAGATAAAGTTAATACACCGATAATAAATACAGAACTAATTGAAGACTCTAAATTAAATAACAAATTTAAGAGTAAAGAACCAGTTAATTCATCATCTATTGTAAAAGATGTGAAAATTCCAGATGATAAAATTGAAGTGATTGTTAATGAAACTAAGAATTCTGATAATAAAAAATGTTCAGAAATTCAAATTAATTTAATAACCAGTGATAAACCTAGTCCTGTAATTGTTACTACAAATTCTACTAATATTACGAATCCTAAAATAATTAATAATTCTAATCCTCCTAATTCAGAAAATATAACAGAAAACCGTAAACAATCAATTCCTGAAGCTCGTGATACAAAACGATCTGAATTATTACCATTGAATTTACGAAAAAGTTATGAAAATACTGAAATTAATAATAAAGTAGTTGAAAAAATTAATTTAAAAGAGAGAACACCTGGTCAAGATTTATTGGAATGGTGTAAAGATGTAACCAAAGATTATCCTAATGTTAAAGTAACTAATTTAACAACAAGTTGGAGAAATGGAATGGCATTTTGTGCAATAATTCATCATTTTGAGCCGGAATTAATGTAAGTTTTATTTGTTTTATTATTTTTATGAAATTTTTCATTGTACTGATTTATATACATGTATATATATATATATGCTCAATTAATTCGTTGCTTCAATATATTTATTGTTTTCAAATAAATAAACATAAAATTTTTTATTTTACAATAATGCAATATATTACGAAGGATATTTAAGTATATATATTTTTATGTAATTATATTTATTTTACAGAGATATGTCGAAGCTTTCAACGCATGATGTCGTAGGTAATTGTCGTATTGCATTTGACGTTGCAGAAAAATTAGGTATACCACGCGTTATTGAACCTCGTGATATGAGTTTGTTAGCAGTACCAGATAAATTAGCTGTTATGACATATTTACATCAATTAAGAGCTCATTTCACTGGCAAACAATTACAAATCGAACAAATTGGTAAGGCGCCATACCCAATTAAAATTTTATCTTTTTTTAATTTTTTTTTTTCTTTTTGCTTTTAATTCATGTTTTCAATATAAAAACCAAATATTGATTAATTTGCACGTACTAAATCTTTTTTTTTTCAATTTTGATTTTAGGTCAAACATCAGATGAATCAAGTTATGTTATTGGAAATTATAAAACTGATAATTTATCACAAAATATTTTAAATTTGAATATGAATCATTTAAAAATGCATTTTCAACATAATTCATTAGATGAAATTGTTCAAGTTGGTGAAAATGGTGATAATAAATCACCAACATCTAAAAAAGATGTAAAGAATTTAATATTATCTGGTTCCAAGAATTTATTGGTAAAAGTTTTATCACCAACAAAAGACAAAAATGCCACGAATGCCTTGCATCAACAACATCTACATAATCAAGTAAATCAACAACAGCAACATCAGTCTCAAAATAATCGTAATTCTGCAACAATAAATAATACAGGGACAGCAATTCCGGCCAATAATAACGATATAAATAATAAAAACAAACCAATTTTAATGACAAGACGACAATTAACGGATCCGTTTGGTAGCGATGATGAAGATGATAAGAAGGAAAAGATTATTACAAAAGAATATGGACAAATTGACAATCAGAAAATTAATTCAGAGAATTCATCGGAAATTGTAAACCCACAGTTAGATCCTCTAACAGCAAATGTAAGTCAAAAACAAAATCTAATGCTTTGGTTAACTAAGCTTGGAAGATCAAAAGAAATAATTTTTGAGTTTTAAAACAAAAAAAACTAAGAGCTTATTGAATAATAAAAATAAAGTTGGATATGTTATGTATGTTTGTTCAAAAAAAGAATTTTGTGATTGTTGAAAATAGAAGGAAAAAATAAAAAAAGTCAAATTCTAAGCAGAATAATTAATGTTTCATAAAGCATATCCAATTTATTTTTTAAATAAGAAATCATAAAAATTTCATTCCATCTTATTCTAGGTCAATTTCTTTTTCAATTCGCATAAATACAATTTGCAGAAAAAGCATTATACACATATATTATTAAAAAATTAAACTTTAAAAAATTAAATAAATAAATATCCATTCAATAATTACAATATTTCGGAAGTGTACAAAAAAAGTATGCAATCAATTCTTCTGCAATCAGTTTATTGCGAATTGAAATATCAACTTCATTTCATTCAAAGTGCAAGTTTTACATTTTTCATTTTCAGTTTGTATTTTTCGTTTTCTTGTTGATTTCTTCAAAATTTATTTTATGATCCCATATCTTTCTAGCTTACTTGTTTTAATTATCTTTGCTTTAATATTTTCCGTTGAAAATTTGTTTTTTTGATTTTTGGTTTGAAAAATTTAAAACAAAATTTTAGAAATTACTTTTGCGACATAAAGAAATGACTGAAAAAGCCAAAGTAATGATGGAAAAATTAAGAATTTCCCAAGAAAATGGAAAAAATGACAACGATGTAAGTAAAAAGAAATAAAAACTTCAGTATGAAGTATGTATGTATTTGACAAAAACCAAAACAAGAAAAATGTCATAATTCTAATTTATTTTAATCTTTTTAAATCCTAGTAAAAAATTATTGAAGGCTCATGATACATTAAATTGTTTCTTAACATTCATAATTTTGGAATTGTGTATGTTACAACTACAAAAATTAGCAAATATTTTTTTGTTTTTGATCCGTAATTATTTTCAAGTTAACAAATCTAGTTTTGAGTTCGATTAATTGTAAATATTGAATTTTGATATTATTTTTGTTTTGGTATGTAAAAATTTTCTTAAAGCTTTACAACTTATAAGTTTTCAATTAATTTATGTTTGTTTGCCTTTTTATTTCTTTTTTTGTTTATGTTTTGTTACTTTCTTGTACGATTTTCTTATTTTTTTTTAATACATTTCATTGACTATTATTAACAATATTTTGTTCTTATTATTAAACAATATTTCAGCATTCTTATTTTATTTGATATCTATTGTAGGAGGAACGGCAACAAAGATTACGAGAACATGCTCGGCGATTGATAGCTGAAACACGTCTAAAATCTCACAGTTTAGATAGCCCAACTTCACCGATTAAACAACGACCAGTATTGTCACCAGAACGTACTATTTCACCTATAAATGTTACTGAAGGATTTGTGTTTAATCAAATAAATGGAGTTGGTAGTCAACATAACTCACCACAAAAATCGCCAACAAAACGTATTACACCACCTCGAGACGGTAGTGTTGGCAGTCAATATTCAATAGAAGTTAACAACAAACATTTAATAAACGATGACAACTCGAAATTAAGCCCTAGTCTTAAATTAAATAACAATAGTAATAATAATGAATTGCAACATAACAACAGTCCCTTACAATCATTTAATTCTATACTAGATAGGATTTCACCAAAGAATGAAAAAAGAGTATGTCTTAATATATATTTTGTAATATCAATAACATTTGAATATATTATAATGCATGCATACGTCTACAAAATTTTTGTTTCTTAAAAACGTAAATATATGTACGGTATCTCTTTCTTTTTAGGGTGATAAACTTTCATACATAGAGAGCGAATTAGAAGCTTTAGAACGTGAACAAGAAGCAATTGATCAAAAAGCTAGTAGTTTAGAAAAGAAATTACGTGCTGTGATGGGTGATGGAAATTCAAGTAATAAAAATTATTCAAAATATTTTTTAAAATTATTGCGTCCTGGTAGTAGTTCAAATAGTGTTGGTGGTGGTGGTAGTTCTAGTTGTGTTAAACCAAAATATAATAATAGTAACGATAATAGTAATAGTTTAAATAATAGTGAAAATAATTATTATAATAACGATGATAATACTGATGTTGATATTGATATTTCGAATTCAGAAGATGATGATGATGATGAATATGGTAGTGGTTATCATACAGCTAGGAATAGTCGCGCGTCAATATTTGATGAATATTCTAGTGATTCAATGTTTTTAAGTAGACGTCGTAAATCAAGAAGTCGTTCAAAATGTGGTCAGTAGTTTAAACTGTCACTTTCTTAAAAAAAAAAGAATTAAATGCATTTTGACTAGCTTAAATATTGCAATAACATTTACAATTTTTTGATGCAACTGAGAATTAAAAAAAGTTTCTAAAATAATTTATTAAACTTTTATTGCTTTAATTCAACTTTTGCTTTTTTTTTTAATTATTATTAAAAGAAAATATTTTTTTTCGACACGTTTCGTTAAAGAAAGATAGAATAAATCCGATGTAGAAAAATGTTATAATTATTACAACATTTATTTATAATATTATGATTATTTCAACATTAATAAATTATTTGAAAAACTGATATTTGAACAAAATCCGTCATTTTGCCACTTATTTGGTCTTTATTTGCAGATTACTAAATTCTAATGTGGTCTTTATTTGCATATTAAAAAATTCTTATAATAATGAATAATAATAAGTAGTCATTCTTAAAATGTAACCTAATTCATATATTTAAATTATAAAGAGTCAATTCTTTAAGTAAATAGGCTATAACAAGAAGAAACAATTTTTAAATTATCAATATCAATAGAATATAAATTAATGTTAAAAAAAATTTGCAATCAAGCTGTTAAAATATTATCATCATTATGGTATTTGAATGAAACCTCTTTAATTCAAGTGATGTAAATTAAAAATTTTCAATATCATATTGTAGACTAAATAATTCATTACATTATGTATTCAAATTTTTTATTCAAGTGTATTCAAATCAAGAAATTCATTTCAAATTATTTTCATATATATTGGATTAAGCTTCAAATTCATAATGTTAACTTTTATGAGAGAAGTTTCGTATGGCAATGGGCTTATTCTATCTACTAAAATTTGTTATCCAACTTTTTATCAAAAAAAGTTTTTTTTTTAACAATTCTTAAATAACACCAAAAATTACTTAAAGAAAGCTGTTGTATACAGTATCAAAAAAGTAAATTAAAATTTCCAAATTCATACCTTATAATGAAATCTTTCTTTTATGTATTTAAATACTTCATGCACATTTTAGATTATTTTATTTATTTAATAATATTGTTACAACACTGAAATTATATTTGTTGATTATTGCAAAGTTTTTTATTACAAATGTTGAGTAAGTTATCATTATAAGCATTCGATAGGAATGAAATCGGTTAACATGTTCTTTAATTATATCATTAATGAAAATTATTTAATTGTAAAGTCTTAAAATTTTCGAATTATTTTTGTGCATAATTAATGATTAATAATATATTTGGAAATTTTACTTTGATTTTAATTCAATAACATCTAATTATTTAATTCTAAATATATTTAATTTAAGGAATTAATTTTTAAGACAAATTAGAGTATATAGTTTTTGTAGATTTGCTTTAACCATTTCAAAATCATCCTTCCATTATTTCATTTAATTTTAATTTGGACATAAAAAATTATGATTTTTCGGTGATAGTTCTTCTCATTTTTAATTGTGATATTTTAGATTGTTCATTGCAGCAATTCATTGCAATTATAATTCTATACAAAGTATAAGCACAATACTTGTACGTTAACTCAAATATTTTTCATATTAAATTGAAAGTATTAAAATTGTTATTTGTAAAAAAACTCAAGATTTTCATGTAGAACTTTAGTATAACTTTTGGGGATCCTTTTAATATCGCTAAATGGAAATTTAATTATGCAATATAATTTTGTTATATGTAAGCTTTTTTCTTTACCATTTCAATTCATGTTGAATTTAATGGTAATATTCTATTGTATGGGCTTTTTAATATTTTCATTAATTATTTAATATCATTGAATATGTGGGATCATAATAGTTTCATTTTATCCCGGAATACCTTAAACGCTTGCTTGGACTAAATTTTTATATGGTGATGCTAATATCAAAACTGAAAGATGCTTAAAGCTAAATTATATAAAAATTAATATAATGAAAACATTTTCAAAAGTAAATAACTGTTACGCTCAAATATCTACAATCTATATTTATTTTAATGTTTGACAAAAACAAGACAAATAAACCTATTACTTTTACTTTTAAATGAACTTTTATGAGACCAAATCAATTATGTATATAAACAAGTTAAACAGTTTCAAAGTGTTCTGTGATCCATAGAAGAACATATACATGTAGAACGATCAAACATTTTTAAACAATATGCCATCCATTTTATAATTTTAGTCAATATTTGATAATTCTTTGTCCTCCTTAGATTCAAATTAAAATACATTAGGAAGAAAAAATTTGTAGATATGATAAAAAGCTGATTGTAGATATTAATTGTATTCTGGAATAACCAATATTTTAAATATATTGTCATACTAAAAAACTCAAATTAAGAACCAAACATTCATCTGTATTTGTTTTGAATGTGAGATATTCATTTATTTTTAATTTATAATTTAGCTTTAAGTGAGGAAATGGGGAATGTGTTTATAATTTTAATCCATACATTTGAAATGATGCAAATATTTATTTTAGCTATTTTCTCCAACGGAAAATTGATGATGGTTAATACTGGCAGTGCGTACGATCCAAAAGAACCAATAGGTATTTTAAAAGTTCTTATTATGTTTGAAACGGATGTATTCTAAGTTTTATTTAAGGTTTTAAGAGAAATATTCTTTAATTTGCTAGATTTCACAAAATTTATATTATGTAAATTTTGAAATAAAATAAATCTCTACGTAGATATTAGGTTTGTTAGGTCAAATGTACATTATTACATATTTGATTAAAAAATTCATTTTGATATTATTTTATCGAGTCATGTAGTATGTATGCATTCAATATATTTATTCATAAGAAGTGATATTTTGATAAAGAGAATCCAGTTAAAAATCTTTTGAAAAAATCTTTTGTATTAATAGTAAAAATAAAAATCAACTATACACTGTATTTTAGCTATTACTAATTAAAAATTTGCAAATACATATATGTACTTTTATGTTTTTTTTTTTTTTGAAAGTATTAAATAACTTAGCCATTTATGTAATTTAAAAATTATATAAATTTCCGGTTACATTTACCAATTTAATGTAGTAATATAAAAAACTTGATACATTGTACTTATTTAATTTATTATAATTATATTGCATTTTCTGGCCAAGTTTTTTAATATTTTAAGAATTATTATAATATAATTTATCTTATTAATTTGAATCAATTTTTAATTGATATTGTTATTTTTGTTAGAAGAGGAAGAATCAGAGGAACAACTTTTATCACAATGGTTTACATTGGTGAACAAAAAGAACGCCTTATTGCGAAGACAAATGCAATTGAATATTTTGTAATTTAAATAAAAAAAATCTATTTAAGTTTTCCAATATTTTCATGAAATTATTTTATTGTTGTACTCTATAGAGAACAAGAAAATGATTTGGAACGTAAATATGAGTTGCTTAATCAAGAACTACGTGCTGCATTATCTGTTGAGGATTGGCGTAAATCGGAAGCACAACGTAAACGAGAAGACTTATTACTTGAAGAATTAGTAGAGATTGTAAATAAACGTGATCAGTTGGTGCAACATTTACATAGTCAAGAAAAAGCGTAAGTCATTATCTTCATATTATACTTACTACATTATTACTAAAAAAAAACATTTATAAATTTGGTTTTAGAATCGAGGATGACGATAAAATTGAGCGCGAATTGGAAAATGTTGATATTAGTGGCAAAGACAAATGTATTTTGCAATAAGTTTTTATACGTTCGTCAAAAATATACAAATGGAAGGAAATGACTGGAAGGATTTCAAAATTTAAATGCAAAACTATTGAATTCTACTTAAAAATTAATTTGATGAAACTGTAAAAACTACAGTAATTTAAGAAAAAAAAAAGACTTTTTTTAATTTTTAAATGAGCTCAGACTTATTTCAACTATAGCTACTTTTATTTTGAAATATTTTTTTTATAGTTATTGAAAAATATTTCAAAATACAAATTTGTCTAAATAAACAAACATAACATAATATTTTTTAATAAAATTGCTAAACTGCTTTATAACGAAGAAACTTTCAGTTAATTTAGTTTAATTTTCTTTTGCATAGCACAACCATTATTGGTATTAGAAATATGTACTAGCTGTGTATCAGATGTGATTTATTTGAGTTAAGATTCTTTTCTAAGCTTCTTTTATTAATTTTTTACTTCTATTTCAATTTGAAAAGTAATTATGTTGCATTATAAAATTTCATTGCTTGGTACAAAAGAAATTTATTGCGTCAATCGTTAAAATTCTCGTTTCTTTTCTATAATATTGGGAAAAATTAATAAAATTTTAAATTTTTATTCATAATTTTAAACAATAAATAGATTAATTCTATGAATATTCAGAAATTTATGGCTAAGATAATACATTTAACTAAAATTTTTTTTAACTATTTTCAATATTTTAGTATCCTAACTCAAATATATCAAATTTTTTACACAGTTTTATATAAAATATTATTTTTTATGAATAAAATTAAAATGAAAGTAAATAAAAAAAAAATTTTGATAAAAATTCTAATAAAAATAAAATTAGCTATGATATTTATTAAAAAAGTAAAATTGAACATATTTTTGGAAATAAAAATGATAAAAAATTTATAAATACAATATTTAAAAAAATTACGTCCGTTAGAATTTAAGAAAAACACAAGTTTGACAACACTATTAAAAATTTGGAATTTAATTTTTATTGCAAATTGTTTTTATGTAATGTTATTATATAATTATTTATTTAATTTAATTAAATACTCCCCTCAGTGCCATTCAAATTATGTTTTATTTTTTTAATAAATTTTTGATCAATACCATAACCCTAATTACATAAAAATTTTTATTTAAAATAATTATTATTTCGTTGAAATGAAGTTAAAAAATATTTTGTGAATAAATTTAATACTTTCAATATTTAATTTTATTAGTTAGACGAAAAAAAAAAATCATATTACAGTCATGTTGAACACAATTTGCTAATAAAGTAAATAAATTTTAAGTAGTTTATAATATTTACAATATTTAATAGGTGCTACAGTGTTTCGATATTGATTGTAATACTTTGTGCTAGTTTGTGCTATTTCCTTATATTATCAAAAAAGCATCAAGACAGTACTCAATCTCTTATAAAATTTCATTTCAACAAGTTTACCTATTTCAAATCGTTACTGTCTAGAACAACTTATTGTATTTTTGTATTAGTTAAAAAATGCTTTACGTTTTAATATTAAGAAAAAATTTTGGAGCACGTTACTATAAAATATTAGACAAATTCAAATAACACTATTAATTATCAAATTTGATAATGATATACAAGTGAATAGTGAAATTTGACAACGAAATCAACAAATAGCGCTTCTTATGCGTTAGGATTACAAAATTTTGTTATTTATTTAATATAAATGTTTTCAAAAGCATTCAAACAAATTTATGCAGTGCATATTTCAAATAAAAATTGATCTAATTCAAGTATCTAAAAGTTTATTTAAATTTTTTCATGTGAAAATGATATAAATTAGGGACTACTTTTATTTTTAATTTGAAATACAGAAAAATAATTTAAAAAAAAAAAAATTTGCGAACAAATTAATTTTGTATTTTCATATGGTTTTGAAAAGCTTTAAAATAATTTTTTTTTAGTTAATTATATTAAAATCAGAATAGGATCTTGGAATTATATGTATAAATTTTGTAATTAATTATAATTTAAACTTTTTAGTATGTATTTAGTTATTTTTTAGTACATTTAATTGAATATATTTTTAATTTATTTATAAAATGAAGTAAATAGTTCAATATAAAGAATTGTAAACTTTATTGAGGATATTTTTTTGAGCTACACTTTTTTAATATAATATTTTAAATATATATTAAATAATAGTGTTAAATTGGAAAAGTAAAATATTATACAAATATTTTTAAAGAAAAATATATAATAACGAAGAATAAAATTGTAATCTGAAAAATTTAATATTTTCGGGTTCAACCAATTTCGAAAGTAGTTTTATATAAAGATATTTAAAAGTTTAATCATATAATTTTGAACGTTATCGTACCGATGAAATTTTTTATAATTTTGTATGGTAGTAAAATGTATTGAATGAAAATGGTGAAAACGACTTTTTTTTTAATAATTTACGCGAATTTTCAAAATTTTTGTGCATCTTTCAATATTTCGCACTAGAATTTGAAACATTAATAAATTCCTAATTATTTTTATTAATAAGTAAACGTTTCTAAAGTATATCCAAATCATTATAGTATTGCTCAAAAAAATTTCCTTTTTTAATAAAAAAAAATATTAAAATAAAGTCTAAATTTTATGTATAGCTTTATATTTTGAATGTTGAAATAAAAATATCAATATCTCAATAAAACATTACTGCGTTATATGTTTTCGTTCTTTGTTTGTTTAATTTTTTTTTTTTTTTCAAAATTAAGATTAATTTTCTATAGGTTATGTATTGGCATTTTTTATAAAAAAAAAATATATTAATCTTTTTTTTCAATATATTTTAATGTTTCTGTGTAACCTATTTTTTAGGATTTAATCTAATTGACTCAATTTTAAATTTCTTTTTCAATTTTCGAAATGGAAAAAATTGCATTAGAATTTACGTCAATGCAGTGTTCAAAAATGAACTTGACAAAAAAAAATTGTAATAGAAATCTACAATAAAAAATAATAAAATAAATTCAAAATAAATTTAAAAATTAAAAATGCGTAAGTAAAAATATTTTATTGATTGTTTACAGTAAATACTTTTATATTGGAATTAGGATATTTCCGAAACATGCTTGTACTATGGAATAAGATTTACTTTTTTGTGACAAAGAAAATTCGTAGTATGGCAGTATTAAATAAATTCAGAAAAAATGATATGTGCGTTAATCATTTTAATCATATTAATTATTTAAAAATAAAGTTTGTTTAACGTTTGATCTTTGTATATACATATAAATCATATATACTGCAATACAGATCCTAACCTTATCTAATCAAAGTGTTGAATCTTTACAATGAATATTATTAAATTAAACTAAACATCTATTTTGTGTTTTGTTTATAAAGCATCATAAAATATTGTGCGCTCTATTGAAAACTAAATTAAATTTTTAATCTTCTGTCATTAATGATGGATTAACTATTCTTACACAATATAAAAGAAATTGCAAAATGAGCATTACTTTGATGTCCATTAATTTCACATTACAGATATTGTTTTAATATTTCAAAACTCTTCAAGCTTCTTAAGACTTCTATTTTTCACGAAAATTAATGGCTTGGGAAACGTTGAAATTAAAGATTCTTGTGGATCATATAAATTTATATTATTAAATTTAAAGCAAGGTTGGCTGAAATGACAAAAGAAAACTAAAAATGATTTTAAAAAATCTTTATATTTCATGGAAGATGCTATTTGCCATGTACTTATTTAGCAACTTTTAAATGCACCTAGTGAAAAGATAAGCTATTTACAAGATTATTTTAGGTAAATGTATTATAATAATAAAAAGCTAACTACTGTATACCACCAGTTAAGGTAAGTGCATTTCAGATAAATTTGCTTATAAAATAGAATATGTCACTTTTAAAGAAAAACATTATTGAAACATTTAATTAGAATAAAAAAAATTTAAAAGAACTTGATAAGTTTCTGTTTTGCTCAGTTTGGATATTTGTTTTATAAAATGATATACATATAACTACTTTTATTTAGAGTATCTGTTTGAACAATGATTTTTTTTTTAGACTTTCGAAAACGAAAAATAGTATCACATAACGCAATTATTAAAAGTGTTAGACTTTTAAGAGAAGAAACAGTCATAGGTTATGTTAAAAATTTGTTCCATTTTTATAAAATACAACTGTATATAATTTTTTAGAGAGAAAATTCAAATAACTAAAAAAACTCTCTTTTATGTTTGCTTACCTCAATATATAAATTAAGTTTGAGAAAATATTGTTAAAAGAAAATTGAAAAAAAAGCGGTTACTAGCGTAGCGACCATACAACAATATTATTTTGTAATAAAGTTGTTTGCTAGTTATATAGAGAACGGTAATTAATAAAAATTGAAAAGCAAATGGGAAAAAAAAGTTCATTTTAAGTAGGTATTTGTTTTTTTTTTTTTTTGTTCTTTTAGCTTATGTATGAAAAAACCTAAGTTAAATTTTTATGTTTTAGTTTAGTTCGAAATTCGTAACTAGTTGGTTGTTTTTTTTCTTTTAATTCGCTTTAATCGGTTTTAAGGTACGTTTCGTTCCTTTTATAAAATTATATTTTAATATTTTGTATATAAAAATAATATTAAGTATTGATTAGATTTGATGATGTGTTGCTATAATAATGCATCAAATTAGTGATTTTTTATATTTATATGTGAAATTATAAAACAAAAAACAGGATAAATATTAAATTGTGGGAAAATTTTTAATAAAATATTAAAATTATTAAATAAATAGAAAAATCAATACAATATATTTATTCATACTTTATTCATAAACTAGTGTGTTATGCATTCATATATACTATACATATTTACTATGTTCATATTTACTATGTGTACCAACGGATGAACATAATAATATAAACTTAAATTGTTTATAAAAATTTCTATGCCAATCTTTGTAGCATACAATATTCATATTGTATACAAAAAAATGCATTTTATTAAATTATAAATTTTTTTAATGAAAAGAATATTATGTTTCTACTTATGTTTTCTCTCATAAATTATTTATAATTTTAAGTGATCATTTTTCACTGTACAAGTTCAAATTATTTACAATGACTCATTAGAAGCTTTGTTTAATAATTGTATTTTTTTTTCTAAAATAAATTCTTTTCTCCATTGAGTTCTTTGTAGACATGTGATGTGCGTACAATTTACATATATATAGTTGATATTGTGATAAATATACGTACAATTATTGCATATTCCGTACATTTTAAAGAGATTTATTTTACAGAACTATAGAGTACAGTTTTACAAAAACTAAAATATCGAAAACAATTTTAATCGTTCAAAATTATAAGTTTAATATTTATTAATTCTTTATTTAAACACAGGGTACCTATATGCATTACCATTGAATTTTGAAAATTTTTATTGAAAAGTCGAAATTTTTTCATATCATATTGTGGTAGGCACCTACATATTGCTGAACTTCTTGTATGTTACGTGTACTTTTCCATTGAAATGCATCTTCATTAATCTGAAAGAATAAATTATGAAATATATATGTATTTAAATAATATTTAATATGTATTAAATACCTACCATTTAATAAAGATGACTAGAAATACAATTTTTCTAATCGCTTAATATTGTTATTTTTAGTTTTACAAAAAACAAACAAAAATTAAAAGAATGATGTACAAATTCTTGGGTCTTTTGGCTGTTATTTCAGTTTGCAGTGCAACCATTAAGGTAAGTTTTATCAAATATATGTGATTTTATAAGAAACATAAAAATGATTTGAAAATAGTCAAATGTTTGGCAGGAAGAACGTTGTAAACTATAATTTCTCAAAATTTTCAATTTGCACAAAAAAGTTTTTTTTTTTTTCAATTTCATCAGTTGAAGCTTGCGCCCCACATCTTAAAATTAATAATGAATTTATGAACGAATTTATTGTGAATATTAGTAATTTTATACGTTCTTTCGAAGATATTAGAAATTTATAATATCTATGGTTCTACATTATTTAATGGTGAACCATTACTTAAGTACATATCTGTTTTATTTTAATATTTTCAATACGATTCTTAATGCCTTACTACATTGTATCTAATGGAATAAAACAGAAATTTTTAATGTCTCATCATAAAAAATTATAATGACAACTTAAAAATATTGAATATCGAATTTTTTTTTTAAATAAATACATACACGTATTATATACATATAATATATATAAGTAAGTATGTTAAGAGTACACCTGTGCTGATTCGTTTTTATTATATATTAAGTCAAACCGGATTGCATTTTAATTTATATATTGTTAAATTTGAATTTGATTATCCTAAAGTAAATTGTATTTAATGAAAAATCTTCTATAATATTCTTGTTTAATATATCATGACGGTAGTTAAATTGTAATTACTTATAATGATTATGTGATGGGAAATTTATTTAGAATACATGTACAGTACCGCAGTCAAAAAATTTATAATTTTACATTTTCTGTTTTAAATTTAATGAAATTTGATATTGCAATATAAACTACGAATTTTAAAATTTTGTTAATTTTTAATGTGTAAGGTATATTTTTAATATTTATCGAAATCTTTTAAAAATGTTTCATATATGTACATATTTTAATTTGAATTTTAAAGTTTTGTATAGAAAATTAAGTTTTTAAGACAAAATTTTAGATAGACCTAGTACCTAGGCTCTCAATTTATGAAAATTTGATTACTTTTTTAGTAATGATAACAATACTTATATAATATATGTATTTTATTTTCATAAACTTACCAAATTTATTAGTAATTAATACCACATTAATAAATGTGGTAAATTTTATGATTCATTGTGCGTGGTGGTATAAAACAATTGCGACATTTTCGAATTTTAAATTCAAATTAATATTCCAAGAAGCTCAAACATATAATTGTGAACATCTACCTACAGTAAACTAAAAACTATTAATAAATTTTTTTTAATAAAAATTATTTTTTTCCATTTCATGAAATTAAATCAAAAAACAAAGTTATAGAGTAAAACTCACCTACGACTTCCATACTAAATTTTTCATTCAATTCAAATGGAAAATATTATTTTAAAAGTAAAAACAACATAAAAAAAATAAAATGAAATTAATTAATCATTCAATATAAAAAAAAAAAGTAGCAATAAAATAAAGAAAACCAAAAAATATAAAAAAATAAATTTTTAATCTCTTCATTGCTATCGAGAAATTTTATCAGATTGATCAGATTACTTAACTTGTCATCTGTAATTTTACTTCATCTATGGTTTTGTTTTTTTTTTCTCAAAAACCATTTTATGATTTTACTTTTCTCCCACCAGAGAAAAATTTCTTAAATATTGCAATAACAAAGTGTAATGAAATAATTGACATAATTGACTTTTTCATAACACGAAATTGATAGATGTATTTATAATTTGATAGGATCAAAACCAATCTGAAAAATTAATCATTAATACCCTTGAAAAAATAAGTTAAATTAAATTTAGTGTTTCCATTTTATTCTTTAAGTTTACAATATTTTTCAAGTAATTTTTTCATAATTTTACTCCAATAATTTTATTTGAACCTTCATTCTTTTATTATAAGTACATATGTATGTATTTATCTAGTATGTATGTAAATAATTTAAGTTTTTTTATTCTCACCTTTAGTTTGGAGCATTTCAACTTATTATTGTCTATCATCGTGAGTTAAATTTTTACGAACATTCAATTCTTTTTCTAACTTTCAAAGTTTAGTGTAAGAACTTTGAGAAGACGGAAATATAAAAGAAAAAAACAGTTTTTAAAATGGCAAAACTGATAAAAACTATGGAAAAAAATTGAAATTTAATAAATTTTCAATACTAAAATAGATTTTCAAGTTATAGCTTTTCCCTACTCAACCATAGTTTCATTGCGGGTATACTTAAATTTGGTAATAAATTTTAAGTAAATAATATTTCTCCATATATGTAGAAAATTAATTAAGCTAAAGGTACATATACATATATGTGTATATTTCGATTTATTCGAATAGATATATAGGCGTTTAACAGAATACACATTACCAAACAAAGTTAAATACAGATTAGTTTCCCTTTGAGTACAAATATACAAAGCTTGTTTTCCGTAAAAGCCGAAATTTTATACAAGATATTATTGTAACACTGTTCCCACTTTATATTGCAACACCAAAATTTCACGAAATTTGATTATTCGGTTGATTCAAAGAAATTGATTTAATATTTTTTTTATTATACTTACAAGTTTCATTAACGAAAATAATTTACGAATTAAAGTAATAAATTTTATACAATATGTGAACTAGATATATACAAGTTGTAGACATTTTTGATGAGTTTTTAATAGTTCATTAAAAAAAATCAAGTACATGTGTATGTGTTTAAGTATGTGAAACGCATATATGTGAGCCATTAAGCAATATTGTGTTTCTTACTTTCAATTGAAAATATTTTTTTATTTCAAATAATAAAATTTTGTTTGTCATGTACTCTGACCTTCATATTGGTAGTTAGTTTTTTTGTTTATGAAAATTCGAAGCTCTTTTGCCAATAACAAAAAAAAAAAATTTAACTTTGATCATTGCTATTATTGATGTTATTTTATCATCATCATAAAATCAAAAGTTGACTCATTTAATTTAAATATATAGAGATTTAGTATCCTCCTTATTAGTTAAAAATATATATTTTTAATATTATTACATAACAATATAAATGTTTATGTACCGAAATATATATACATACATACATATATCATACATTCGATGCTTGTATATAGGTATGTGAATACACATATGACATAGGGCATAATGACATGAGTATAGTACCTATTAATTAAAATTATTGCTTACAATGAAAATTCACATAAAATTTTTAATATATTTACATTGTTTTATTTTTAGATTTTTTGTTTTGTTAAATTTGTAAATTTTAAAAAGTACCTTTTATCGAATAATCTCAGTTTACTACGGTACTATTATTTAAAATTAATACTAACTCTAGTGCTAGAATTCAAATTGGGATTATGTTGATCATAATAAACTCAAATAATTTCATACATGTATGGATATTATATAATTTTTTTCCTAAAAATTAAAATTCTATATCTACATAAATTCTAAAAATTACAATTAATATTCGTAGTGACATATTATTTTTCATTAGATTATTAGATCTGTTGAACCCACTTATACCTGAAAAAGAAATATGTATGTATATAAGTGTTCAAATTTCAGAATAAGAAATGGAAACGTAATTTTTTATACTTACATACATATCGTCGGTTCAATGCTGAAGTGACCACAAATACGTCATGTTTTACATTTCAAGTAAATCGAGTTTAAAGATTGAAATTACATTATTTTTTAACTAAGCGATACAAGTTTTTTATATTATACTCGTGCTCGTAAGAACGTGCCTCAAACCCTAAGAAGGTGTTGCTAATTCCAAAAATCCCAAAATGGCATATGGATCACATCAACATTGGAGCAACGATACATAAATTTTTTGAAATTGTAATGTAAATTGAACTTTATCCAACTACAATTTTGTTATGTTCGTAAATTTGTATGTACATATCCATTTGTATATCATTCAAATTTTAATTGAAACTAATTAATCAAATTTATTGCCAAAGTTCGGTCGTTTATTTCGTATTAACTTTTTAATGAACTTCATTACAAAAAAAAAAAAAAAAAACCTGCAAAAAATATAAAATACTCTTTTAGTTACGAAGATTTGTCTTAGATTTGTTAGTGTGAAGAATCAAGAGATGTGAAGAAATGTTATATATAGTGAATCATCCCCAATAAATATCACATGTTGTGTTCAATGAAGTTTTAATATAATTGAAAATAATGCATATGATCTTCAAAAATTATTACCAAATTTAATATAAAAGATGAGGTCAAAAAATATTGCATGACAATATAATAAAACTGCGTTTTAAATTAAATTATGAAAACTTATGAAATGATGAAAGCAAAAAGGTTTTAGCATGTCATGCGTTATTATTGTAGGAATTGCCGTCTAAACGAAATTTTAAAGCAGTAATTTTGTTTCTCAATTTAAAAACTTTAATTTTTTATGATTTTCTACACAGCACTTTTCTATTAAATTTTTATATTCACATGCTGTCATGCACCACACTTACATTTTGTACAAAGACAAAAAGAATCCGAAATGTTCCTATGTATATATTTATCTAAGCTATTGGAATTTTAATTATGATCTTCGTGAACGGATAACTAAATTTTTGTTAATTAAGAGTGAAAAAAAAAAAAACTTTCTTTTTTAATTTTTTTGTTTTTCAAAAATTTCATTTTGAATTAATTTATAATATAAAAACTTTCCAAAATGACAACTTTTGTTGAATTTATTATTATTGAACACCTGAATAATAATAGCAATAACAACAATAATGATAATATCAATAGTAAAACGGAGAAAATAAGAGTAAAATTTTAATCTCATTTAAAGTTATTCACCGGGTCAATTTATTGTTACGTACATAAATGTATATTGGTATATGCCACATTGAAATATTTCTGTTATTAAGTTTTTCTTATATTATATATTATTCATGTACTTATATATAAAAGTGAATTATTGAGTTCAACTTTAAGCACACATAATTTCCAGCGATAGTTTTTTTTTTCGATTTAATCAAAAGTAAAAGGAATTAAAAAATTCATGTATAATTAATGCTTT